TAAGAAAATACTATCTGAGGCATTTTCATATATATATTTTTTAGATTCTAGCTATAAAGCATCACCTGTTTCATCTAAAACCTGTTGACTGGAAAATTTGGTCAGTATTAAACATTTGTGTTACAAATGTTTGGTTAACTTTAGGTCTGCGTAACTTGTTCCTGGTGACAAAAGGTTTCCTAGGGAGGGAGAGTTAGTTATAAGGAGACAGGTGTGGGTCCCTCTCACTAGGCTTTGCTCTGTAACAAGTATCATTTTATGCTAATTATGATATGAGTTAGGCCTGGGTGGTAAGTGTGACTCCTGCCCATCTTGCGTGATGCTGTTCTTATTTGAGCTGCTGCTTTTGGTTTGAATTAATGTCAGTTGATTTGTGTGGACTGTGGTAAGACAATCATTTTATTTTGAAGAACATGTAATAAAAAAATGCATAAATGATGCGAATCAATAAAAAGTTGCTAACGAATGTCCGAACTGTGATTAGTATTTATTAGAAAGGTGGTCAGTGCCATTGAGTATCCAGGATTAATAAGCTTTCAAACTCGATTTTATATCAAACAACTTAGAAATGGATAATTCATGTAATTTTGTGATATATCCCTGTCGATAGATATGGATGAGTTTTGCAGACCCAAAGTAGAAAAGGACACCGTGAGAACAGCTAGAAAGTTTTAGGAGCTGTTCAACAAGGAATGTCTGTGAAGCAGCGAGGCCCCTTTCAGCTTCCCCTCCACCTCTCGCCTCCAGCCTCCGCCCACGGAAGGCCGTCCTGAATTCCATTGAATCGGAGGGCAGGTGAGGACCATTGGTTGAATCTTCCAGCTGATGGAGACAGTTGCTGATGATGGTTTTGGATGTAGAGAAAACAGCAACGCAGGTCTCGGTACCATTGCAGAGTGGTAGCACAATCTTTTTCATGTAAATATCGACTTGTTAAAAACGTATTTATTTTGCGCCTTGTGTGTGTCAGACACTCTGGTGCACTGGTGGAATGATGGTGGAAAAAAACTGTCACAGCCCCTGATTTCGTGGAGTGCATATAAGAGGAGCAGGTGTAGAAAATAACCAATTATTCAGATATGTAATTTTATAGCATCTCAATTATGTTTGTATAACATCACATGTGTGAGGTACATAGAAAAATATATAAAGATTGTGCATTAAGTGCTATGAAGGAAAATACTGGATGCTTTGAATGAGAGGAATGGGACACCACAGCATTTTGGGTTTGTTGCAGATTAGCAGGCAGAAGCCACACTAGAGCAATCACACGTATTGATTGATTGATTAATTAATTAATTAATTAACTAACTATTTGGGGAGAACAGACTGCAGAGTTATTATAGTTGGACTTTTTAAGATAATTTTTTATTTTTCAGTGACAGTTGACCTACAATACTTTAGTTTCAGGTGTACAACATAGTGATTAGACACATATAACTTAAGAAGTGATCACCTCGATGAATCTAGTGCCCATCTGACACCATACAATAGTGATTTAGTTTCAGGTGTACAACATAGTGATTAAGAAGTGATCGCCTCGATGAATCTAGTGCCCATCTGACACCATACAAAGCTGTTATAATATTATTGACTATATTCTCTTATGCTATACTTTATATCCCCATGACTATTTTGTAACTACCAATTTGTACTTACTAATTTCTTCCCCACCTTCACTCATCACCTCAATCCCCCTCCCATTTGGCAAACATCAAAGTGTTCTATGCATCTATGAGTTTGTTTCTGTTTTGTTTGTATGGAAAAACCACCGGAAGCGGCTTGGATGGCCGCAAGTTGGGTGGGGCGGAGCCTCAGGGAATCACGTGGGCGGGGCGAGCAGTGTCAGCCAGGGTGATGGAGGCTCAAATATGGCGCCCGCGTATGTCCGCACGCTGCGTGGGGGGAGGGCTCCACAGAGGAACAACGGACTCTGCAAGCAGTTCTGTCTGGGAGAAAGCTGCCCTTCCAGCCCTCGCTCTGAAGCCAGACAATTCAGTTCCTCCTCGTGTGTCCCTGGCATCTTTCAAGCAGCTGCCCCAGTGCAGACACTCAGAGCCAGCGAGTCCGGCAGTGGTAAGTCCACGCGAGCCCTTTGATAGGGACTCCAGCCACCCCCCCACCCCACCCACCATTTCATTCAGCCACAATCTCTGCTGGCTTTCACAGCCAGAAGTTGTAGGGATTTCGCTCCCTGGTACTGGAACCCTAGGCTGGGGAGCCTGGTGTGGGGCTGGGACCACTGGCTGCTCAGAGGGCACCTCCACAGCCGAGAGGTCCCTCCTGATTTTTAACTACCATCCATGGGTGTGCTACCAGCCTGTTCTGCGTCTCCAGCCCTCTTAGCAGTCTCCATGTGGCTTCTGTACGTCTTTAGTTATTGGACTTCTGTTCAGCTAGAATTCAGGTGATTCTCAGCGATGGTCGTTGTGTAGTTTCGTTGTAATTTTCATGTGGTTTTGAGAGGAGGTGAGCACAGTGTTTACTTACTCTGCCATCTTGGCTGGAAGCTCCGTTATGTTTTGATTTGAGTCCTACCCCAGGGCCCAGTGTGGAGGCAGCTGATGGAAAAGCGCTCAGAATTTCTGAGAAAGCAGGCTTGTTCATTTATTTTAAAATGTCGACATGAGGGGCAGGCATCTAATTTCATACATACCCAGAGGCCGATTGAAAGATGCTTTGGTGATGTTGGCTGAGGGGGGCACCATCTTCCCACTCTCCCCCTTTATTTATCTATCTATCTATCTATCTATCTATCTATTTATTTATTTACTTGCTTGCTTGCTTGCTTTCTTACTTATTTTTATTAAATTTATTGGGGTGACATTAGTTATGCTTGCTTTCTTATTTTTATTAAATTTATTGGGGGTGACATTAGTTAATAAAATCATATAACTTTCAAGGGTAGAATTCAATAATAAGTCACATGTATATTACATTGTGTGTTAACCATCCAAAGTTAAATTTCCTTCCATCATCATATATTTGACCTCCTTTACCCTCTGTCTTTCCCCTCCTCCACTGCATTTGGTAACCACTAAACTGTTGTCTGTGTCCATGAGTCTCTGTCTTGTTGTTTGTCCCTCATTTATTTTTAACTAAGGACACAGAATGTAACAGCAGCTTGGACTGCCCCTGGGCTGGAGCAGCTGCTGTGCATCCTTGCTTGGCTTCTGCCGGTCCTCTGGCTCCCTGGTGCAGCTCACAGAGACTGGTGAGCCTCTCTGTGCAAGTAGGGTCCTTCCAGAATAGAGACAAAGGTGAAATTTTGCCACACTAAGAACTCTCCTCTTCTTCTTGGGATTAACATCAGTGTTCCACAGCCACTTATCTCTGTATTCTGTGAGCCTCCCTTAAGACAATTGGCCAACACTGAACCAATTTAGCATCTGTGAGGCCATGTCCACATCAGGAGCTAGAGCAGAGCCGTAGCCCAGGTGTTTCTGAGGCAACACTTACCATGGACTCTTTTTCACTGGAGAGACCTAATTTGACTGGGCCATAGGAGAGGCAGCTCCATGGAGATGACATCTAAATTTATATGTGAATGAGAAAGGGAAAACATCTCAGGCCCGTAAGTTCTGAGGACTCACTTCATGTTCCCTAAAGGGAGGAGGGGTGAGCATGTGCCTGCAGGAGGAGTAACAGGAAACCTGACTTGGAGGGGAGGGCTGAATAGGGCTGCTTTCTAAATGCAATTTCAAACTCATCATGACTGTTGCCAGCTACGGAATAGTGGCTGATGGAAGTCATGTGTTTGTAAGTCATTGGAGAAAGAAGTGCTTCTTTGTGTTTTTAATTGCTATTTGCAATTGAAAAAGTA